AGCTTCGTTTAGCATTCGTGGCTAACAGAGATGAGTCTGAGGTAAAAGGAACATCCGGTTCCGCTGCAACATGCTGGGTCGGCTACAAAATAAAAGCCCTTGAGATTATAAAAATTGTTTTTAAATTCTGCCATACAGAAAGTGGGTCATATATATATGTATACGACACATGAAGAGTTTCTTCCCGTCGGCAGTCGGGCTCATTAACAGAGCCTGGGACCCCCACTGACATCCCCAGGACAAATTCCCACCGGTCACTCCCCTGCATCCCTTCTATTACACTCGACACTTTTACACTACACTTATATCTCACTTGTTTATAGTCCTGTTATCTGTTCGTTTGTGCACTTTATTTTATATTATCTGTAAATTTAATATGTTTCTATTTTGCACTGTTGATTGTTGTTAAATGTTTGCACCTCCCGTCATGTCAAATTCCTTGTATGTTCAACATACCATGGCAATAAACGATTCTGATTCTGATTCTGATATATGTATATTTCTCAGATTTCCAGCAACTTCAGAGCACTAAGTCCAAAAGTCAACATTTATTTTAAAAAGAAAAATTTTACCATTTACAAAATCCCCAACATGTTTAAATCCAACAAAATATTCTTCTTCAATCTTTATTTACTGGCGTTAAGCCTTTCAAAAACTAAACTTTACGAAAGAAAACCACTTTCTTCTCCAATTTCTGAAATCCAAATTTGCTCTCCACCATTTGCAGGCTCACCTAGCTTTAAATGGGAGACGAGGTTTAATTCATGTTAACTTACACCCAAAACAAAACTATGATTAACTAACAAAAGTGGATTTGTACACGCCATAAATGGACTTGCGCCATGCTCTCCAGACTAGACCGGCGGCTACAGATCATTGAAATAGGACCCTTAGTGTCAGTGCGGTAAATTAACTAATCAGATTTCTATTTCGTAATTAGGACCAGCTAGAAAATAGATAGGGAGTGACGAGTAACTGTGGGATGCATTGGAGACACGACGAATCCAAACATACACCATTTTATTTAAACAAAAAGGGGGATGTGTCTGTATTATTTGTGAAGTAGAATGGCCCCTGTCAATGATATTCAAACAGTTTATTATATTATTGGACTATTATTACAGATACCATCACATAAGCAGCATTTTGTCATTAGCTATAGTAATCTATAACAGTTTTGATGTTGTGGCGCATATGAATACATAACTTTTACTTGGAACAGAGCATTTTATTATAGAAAATGGAGACATGACAGAATGCAATTTGCTACATTATAATTGCACAAACCCAACCAAAAAGACACACATAGGTTACTTGTTAGAGACGTTAACGATGATGTATTTACATTTTTACTACAAAGATTTAGTCGGTAGACTTGTGACTTCACCGAAATAACACCCAATACAGTGTGAGCATTTCAAGACACCACTGGACTGTAAATACATTTTGTTATTTGGAAGGAAGTCATTAAATTAATAAATCACATTTTAAAACAACAAACAGTGCTGTGGACATTAAATGCTTTGACAATTTAAAAACAATGCCATTGCGATACCAAAAACACAGCATCCAGAAAACACCAAACTATGACACAGAGAAAAATGATTAAGTAGCTTCATCTCAGCTAAAAGGCTCATTTTGGAGACAGATTTTAGTCCATCACTGTAGAACCAAGTCTTAACCTTTTACTTGGAAAAAGAAATGCCTCAACAAGCGTCACTGGAGCTCCATGCGTTTCTGTTGCTCAAACCAACACACTTATGTTTTTTGACAAGATAGAGCCGAGCAAATCTTTGATCACAAACACAGCAGCTAAATGGTTTCACCCCAGTGTGGACAGTCAAGTGCTGTCTCAGATGTCCCTTTTGTGTGAAACCCTTACTACAAAATGAACAACTGAATTGTTTCTCCCCCGTGTGGACAACCGAGTGTCGTCTCAGATGTCCGCTTTGTGTGAATCTTTTGCTACAAACTGAACAACTGAATGGTTTCTCCCCCGTGTGGACAACCAAGTGTCGTCTCAGATCACAATGATGTGTGAATCTTTTATTACAGATTGAACAACTGAATGGTTTCTCCCGAGAATGAATTCTCATGTGATTAACTAAAAAGCCACTGGTACTGAAAAGTCTACTACAAACTGAGCAGCTGAAATGTTTTCCTTCTGAATGAAGTCCGAGATGCGTCGTTAAGGACTTCTCCTGGGAAAACCTTTTCCCACAGATGGAGCAACTAAATAGATTCACTCCTCTTTGGATTGCAGTATGCTTCTTCACATGTCCGCTGCGGATTGAAGTTTTTCCAGTATTACAGTCCAGATCACTTACAGGTACTTCATTGTTTTGTAGATGGTTTAAATCTGACTGAGGTTCCTTCATCTCCTCCCAATCTCTACCGTCATCAGTCTCAGGTTCATAGGAGAGTGAAGTCTCATACGTAGCTGGTTGTAAAGGACTGTCTGGTTCTGGTCCTCCACAGTCCTCTCCATCAGCTTCTGTTTTCATCTGTTCAGTTCGTCTTTGATGAAGTTGTGAGGACTGAGCTTCCTCTTCATCGTCTTCACTCTTCACAGGAGTGAATGAGAACTTGATGATATCAGCCTCCTCCAGACCTTGAAGCTGCTCTCCCTCCTGACTGGTCCAGAGTTCCTCCTGTTCCTCTTTAAAGTGTGGAGGCTCTGGGTCCTCCTGGTCCAGACTGGAGCTCCACTCCTGCTGCTCTTCTTTAACCACCAACAGCTGCTGGACATCTGTGGCAGATAATGAAATACATACACGTAAACCACTGAGAGCAATACTTTCCTAAAACATGTGGAGAAATGTTGCAGACCGTGTATACTTTATGAGCTCAGAAATGAAAAGCCAGTTTTCAGCTTTGTGACGATGCCTTTTCCAGCTGATTAAAGAGTTCCATGAGCTGAAGGAGGAGGATAATTCATCATCAGGACATTCATCATCAACACATCTGGAGATATGTGGTTTTCACTGGACAGGAAGGGGATGAAAAACTGAAAAGAAACTAAAGCTTTTAGACAAATCTAGTGGAGTAAAAAAATACGTAGCAGTAGAATATTAAAATACTCTGGTATAAGTACCTCGAATTTGTACTTCATTAACTTCGTTACATTCAACCTGTGCGTGTAACAAAGTATTTTCAGTGTGATGTAGTAAAGTACATGATGTGAATGCTTCTTTCCTCTCTGGTTTGTCAGCAGTTTAACGTGATACTAAACCAAAGAGAACCAACCTGCTCTGTGTAACCGAAGCTGAGGGAT